GGGGAGGGGGGGGGCTTCGACCTGAAAGATTTGCACCCGATCGAAAGAAACCTTGCTATCGCAAGAGTAACTCCAGCTAGCTTCGCTAGCTTTCGTGACATGAAGCGTTCTAATGGTTGTTTGTTTCTGCTATGGAAAACGGGCTCCATAAAGGTTTGAAACTGCTTGAAAACAGGTTGAAATGGAGCTAAGACCCCTCATTCAGAGGATTGCCCTCTCCTGAAGAAACCCTAGATTAAGAAACCCAACATTAGAGTCTAATTACCTGGGCTCAGATTTCTTGTTCAAACACTTGGGATCAAGAATTATTATCGACAAAATGGTGATTTCTTATCACAAGCCTCAGCCGTAGCATGTCACCGGGCCGCACCAGTCGAAACGGTCACCAGTCTACCTGCCGTTGAACCGTTCGAACCTGTCTTTGGGGTTCACACGATATTTTGAAGCAGCGCGGAGTGCTCCAGGCCATCCCAATTTCAGTGTCGTGCGTTCGTCTGTTGGGCATCCCAAAATACCAGTCCCTTGGCATGTTCGCGAATTCATGATAATTCCTTTCCATCCTGAGCATCCTGGTCGGCGCTAAGTGCCTGGGACATCCCAGAGTTTCTGGAAGAATCTCTCCTGAACAAAAACACCAGTGACCCCTTCAGTGCGGCATCTCTCCTGGCCAACATGCGATGGAACTCGATCCAGGAATTGAAAAAATCGGAATCATACGTTCAGGTATCTGTGTGCATGTCCTTGAACAAGGGATCCCGATGGACGGTGGTCCGGATGAATTATGATGTTTCAGCTATACCTCACTTTTCAGGGACCGATCCCCGTAGAACTGGATGATGTGGGTGTCAATCAAATAGGGAGACCCCAACAAGGGTTTTGCTCTCATCTATGTGTGTTCCTTCCCCAAGATGTCCTTGGGTCAAACATACGTACCAAAGGCACCTGTAAGCAAAGCTGCAGAGTCAATGAATCCCTAAGGATCCGAACGGACCCTCCTTTTTGACACACCCGAACCCTCTAGTTCACAAGGGTTTGGGGCCCCTCATGTACCCGAACCAAACCCTTTGTTTTGTTTCGAGTGCGGATCCTGACGGTGAATCAGGACAGCTTCCGAGTCAAGGCTGCCGGGACCCGGGACCTCCGAAGTGAAGGGGGGCCAGCCGCAAGCCGGGACCACCGCCCGTGCAGTGACTCGGAACCGTGAAGAGATGGACCTCCAAACCTCTGCAGGACTCAAGGACTCTCAAAGCAACAGTACTTCAATTCCGCCCCTTGTTCTTCTTCAATATTAGGCCGAAGCAGCATCGAACACATCCAAACATCCTATATAAAAGCCCCCAAAATCCACCTCTCCAGGACACTCTCCTACCCCTGTATCAGTCCCTACCCTCTGGCCCACCCTAGGTCTCCCCTCCCTCCCACCCCGTCCGGTCCCGCCTACGTCTCTCGGCGGTGAATCTCACCGGTGTGCTTTGTGGCTGCGCTATGAAGACTCGTCCGGCGTGGCGTGGGGCGAGGGCGAGGTGGATGGGAAACCAGGCGCCAGGCGCCAGGCGTTGGTGGACAGGCATTGGAGGAGCATCAACCAAACGAAAGCACCACACCTGCCACAAAAATTGGACTTGCTCATTCGATCTGCAGCTCACCCAACAGGGGCTTTATGCCCAGATAACAAGCATAAGCATACGTATACTTTTTGTCTGAAGTAAACTTATCAAATCTTATTAAGCAGCTTCAGCACACAGCACGCACAACGCTGCGTGCCAGCACGTATACTTTCGCCACGTGGTGGCTCCACCGCATGGTTTTTCTCTGGCGGCCCGATTTCACGCGATGCCCTGGTTCCGGATCCAGCCAAATCGGACGAGTTCGTTCTCCCACATTCTACCCCCCACCACCTGGAATCCAGGTCAGTGAAGAGAAAGACCATGTACCCGGCTCAGGCCCGGTGTGCGGGGAGGTGTGCATTGGGCATGGAGCAAGGCTCCATGGATGAAGTTAGAATCAACCAGCACCTTCAGACACTACACCCTACACTACTTCTGGGTCTCCACTGGACCCCCACTGGACGGTTCATGGATCAATGAACAATCTCATGAACCGAACCGAGGCTGTTGAGGTACGGATGTAGACCTGCTCGACACTTTGATGTGCTTTGGAGGGTCCAAAAGAAAACCGAAGCTGAAGGTCTTGGTGGCCATGGATCATGTGGATCCCTATATCTCGGGCTACAAGTATAGTCGAGGTGGTTCATGGACACCCCTTAAAAGGGGCCATGTGCTGGACACCCGGGAGGACCCCGTGGTGGAGATGGACCGGTTCGCTCTTTCAGTCTACGCGGAGTCTGTCCGGACGCGCCTGGTCTTCACCTTCGACCTCGGTCCGACGTCCGCCGAGGGCGGACGAAGCACCAGGCGGGGGGGGGGGCCAGAGGTCCGACGTCCGTCGTGGGACGTTCCAAATCCCTTGAAAAGCCCGGACGAGTGGAAGCGAGACGAAGGGCATGGAAGCGATGGAAGCGTCCGTTCCAACGGACCCCCAAGCGATCCAGTCATCGGATGACATGTGCCATCCGACTCCAGGGATCGGTGTCCATCCGACTCCACGCCACGCGGACTCTCGACCGACTCTCCGAGACGGTGAAGACGGTCGAATCGGCTTGAGGTGCTTGGAGTCTTCACCAGCAACCCATACATGGCGCCTTCCGGGAACGGCTGCTTTGGGAACAGCCAAATTCTGTTTCCACACAATCCTGCATCGCCCCAACATCATGTTACTTCTGGAAACCACAAAGGACATCACCCTTCTACCCCCGACATTGAGACACCCTTCCCGTGGGGCAAGGACTACATCGCACCGCTGAGAAGCGAGCTGAATGTTCAACAAGCCCAGAAGTCCTGTGGTTTGTGCTGCCATCGAGCATGGGCGATGGCGCTAGTTTTGAAGCTTCGCAAAGGGGTGAGTTTTGGGGGCTCCTGTGACATGTGCTGAAACAGAGGGCACGCCATCGCTAGTAGGGTGGAGTTGGGTGAAGAGAGGTTGCAGTCATTTAGTTATCCTAGTGATTCGTACCGGTCTGTTTTTCTCTATCCCAACGCTGACCTGAGTGGGTGTATTTGGTTGATTATGGTGGATCCGCCCCAACTGTACTTGGGTTGCTGTTTGGAGATCTTTGAGAGTTGACACCTGTTTTTTTACAAAACCCGTGGAAAATCACATGCAAGACGAGACCCGCACCAAAACACCACGGCGTTCGTGGATCCCATTCTGATCCACAGCCGTATGGTTTGGTTACCAAGCGAAACCCTTTGTTTGGCAGCGGCAGGAGGTGCAGTTGACAATCCCTCACATACTGTGTGGGTGAGGAAACCTTTATATGTAGTCTCATGTAATTAGTCTCATGATTTTTGTGACTTGGCATCTCCAAGCTGCAAGTTTTCAGCTGGCACTTGGACCAGGGTCCTTTCTCTGGGCGACACAGGTTGGAAACAGCCAGCACTTGCGGACAACTTTTCAACAAGCAGGTTACCAGGTTGTTTGAGGTAGGGTAAACTTCACTGCCGCGTTCAGCCAGCGAAAACGGGGGCCGACAGGTTGCCATCAGCCAGCTCGTGCTCTCCATCTATTTGCTAAGGCTCGAAGCAAACAATCTCATTGGCTCAATGAACATTGGGATTGCATTGCTCATTGAGCCCCCTGGACTACCACCCCCCCTGACTGGGACGTCTAGGGACGCGGTGTTTGATGAGATATAATACTTACAGGTGATTGGATGAGGAGGGACAAGCTCCGGGGCCCTTTTCCCTGTTCCCGACAACCCTCCCATATAGTCATCGCATTGACATCCTGCAAAGGCAATAACTAAGACCTTCCGGCTATGTGGGTGTGTATTAATATAGGGAAACCATCCAAAGACCCCCTGAAAAGGTTCGGAAAATCGATTCGAACCCATTGGTTGGGGGATCTCCCTATGGCCCATATATGTAAAATGTCCGCCTCCATCCCGACATATCCCAACCAACTCCACCGCCTCTCGACTCGTTCATAAGGCGCGTCATGCAGCAAGAGGAAGGCGTGACCCGCGGAGGCGACGGGCGGCAGCTGAAGAGAAGTCTGTCTCTGTCCGACACCGGTCCACTTTCAGTTTCTTTTCTATTTTCGCTTTCAGTTTCCTTTCAGGGTAACATGGTGTAACATGGTGTAACTGATTGGGACTGGTTCGATTCGGCATCCATGCTGTCTGGCACGGGGGATGAGGTTTAGGGCTGAGGCTGTGGTTCGGATTTGGCCTGAAACATACCCGTCTGATTCCAACGAACTGTGTTCGACAGATTAAACGTTGCATGAAAACAAGCCTTCCTCACCTACTTCTCGCTATTTGTTCATTTAAAGGAACATACGCTACTATAGGACAACTAAATCAGTCAAAGCTACCAAGCATGGTTTCATTCGTGGCCAAGCTAATCTCTAACGTGAAACAACTCCCTCTCTGCGACCGTCACTTTCCAACAGTGTCGGGCACCACACGACCATGTGATGCCTTGAAGAGTGGACGACAGTTGCGGGGTCGGCGAAATCAACCCTCACTCAGATGCCTTTCCCAAACACTCCATGCATGGAATATGAAACATTATTGACATACATTCGGGAGGGTCATTAGTAGGATATTGCAGGTATATAGAATTACTGTTTATAGTTATATTATGTTATATCATATATACATTGAGTGTCTGGATGTGCAATCTGGTGAAATTCCAAATCAGCAGCATACTCCAATTAAAACAGCACACGTGTTCGGTCGAATGGTGTGCCGGTGTTCCATGATGATATCCCGTGTGGGCACCCGACCTGTCAAACCCGCACGTTCCGACAGTGGAAGATTCTGACGCCACGTCCCAAGAGATCATAGAGATCTTTTGCATTCCGAGGGACGAAAACGTTTCCCGGAAATGGAACCTTCCTTGCATGATGGAGGAAATTAACTATATATTATATAAGTAGATGTAAATAGTCTTCCAAGAGACCTTATCTTCACTTCTGGGTTGGGGAGTCAGAGTGCCGACTCCCCATTTAACTTACGTCATCACCCAGACTCTTCACACCGAGATAACCAGTGGCTGGAGGCGTTGTGAATCCCAGTGATCTAACTGCATCCTCTGAAGGTACTTGGACCCTCCAATCACCAATCAGCATGCCCTTTTCAGAAAGCCCTTTTAAATCCTTTTCAGCAAAAGAGGTGGATCCAGGAAAGGTTATCCGATCTGGTGACGGTGAAACAAAAACAAAGAAGCAGCACGCCCTTTTCTCGTGATCGAACGGCAAAACGGTTGCTTTTTCTCGTGTGAGGGCGGCGATTTGTCCTCCTGGTGTTACCGTGGTGGCCCCTGAAAACTGGACCCTTTCGTTCTGGTCCTCCCAAGTGAGTTTCAGAATAATAGTCATTTGGCAGCAGTCTAAGAAGTTCCCTGTCTCTCTTTCTTTCTTTCTCTCTCTCTCTCTGTCTCCCAAATACATATGCATCACTAGAACCCATTTGACCCCCTGCATCATAGAAAAAGGATGAACTTGACTATGCCTTGAATGGTTGGGGTCCAAAATATGGGTCAATCATTGTCTATAAATATATATATATATGAACGACTATATAATATATATATATATATATACGTGAATACATGCATAGATTGGTTGATAAGTCTAACTATTGATCTAAATTGTGTGTTCAACACTTTAGCAGACTGTGCGCAGAGCACCAAAAGGTAAAAAGAACTCCCGCATGACTGGCAAAGAGCCTGGTACCTAACCATGGTAAACATTGAACATGTCTAGTCAGTCTGTTCTTTCTTGAGCCAGGCTCCCGTCTTTTCATCGAGAGTCTTTGATGAAGTCTTCATAGTGGTCAAAAATCATGGCAAAGACAAATGTGAAAAAGCTTGGAGCAATGCAAATCATTCTGATTGTTGCCTGGCCAGCAAGCCTGATGTAGCTGCATCAGATCCTATAAATGGAGGTCTTAAGCTTTTGAAAGCAAACGTTTTCAGGTCAGATCGAAAGGGCCGAGTCGACAAGAAAATCGCAAGTGCCACGCGTGTCGGAGATTTGTTCCGGCCAGAGTAGCACTTCAGTGAGGAACTCCAACATGAATCTACGATTTTCTATTGGAGGTGTAACATCAACTACTATTTATTTGTACAACAAAAAAATGTTTGGGATATTTTTTTGGATTCTTCGTACTCCAACGTAATAAGCTTGGAATATAGCAAGTCAATATGGCTGATAATTCAAACAATGTCAACCAAATAACTCAGAATCACCATCCGTCGATCCGTCGATCCACGGTCTGCAGCCCCCTGAGGACCTGAGGACCTGGATCACCCAAATTGATGTGCACCGCTAAACACATCCGAAGCAATAGTTAAGGCTAAGGTTAGAGAAACCAAACAATGTCAGTCTCCTTCTTGTTGGACAGCACTTTTTGTTGCACACAAAGGTCCGATTCGCTCAATCCACACATTAAAGGAAACCTCTCAGAAATGTTGACATAAAGTCCGACAGTTTTACTGCTCAGGTGTCTCACAGCTCAAGGGATATGAATAATATAATATATACTCCAAAGCTCCAACATTGTCCTCTATGGCCCCTGGAGCTCTCAAAAACCCTCAGCTTTGCCTCATTTCTCCCCAAGGTCCACCCAAAGGTCCCTGTGAACTCCCAACACTAACTTGAATTGAACCAGCACCATTTGCAAGTGATTAGGCTGCAGTTCTGTGTCTCTGCATTTGAGCCAGAAGCATTTCCTCATTTTGCTCACCCACCGAAGTGAGCCTCGACCGAGAACTGAGCTTCGCGACGGCTTTGCCGTGCAGCTATGGTACAAAGGCCCATCTGAGAGGAAAAGAAGAACCCTTTGAGAGGTCCTCAGATTGTTAGAAACATTCATTAGACTAACTGTTACAGTATGAATCTTTAAGTTCAATTTCCCATGGTATCCCATTGTCCATTGCATTCTTCAAGGGAGTCCACTTTGAATATGTTTGGGAGTTCGGGTATGTTCTGGTCTCTGTATCTATGGTTATGTGGAACATTGCCTGAACATCAGTCAAATACAGTAATTCATCGCTTGTCCAATCCAAAACAAACCAAAAAACCTACTTGCACTATCTCCAGTTGGGTGTCTTGTGCAGCCCTGTGAATCGCTTTTTGGAGGGGTTGTCTCCATGAACCACGTCCTGGGACTCTGCGTTCCGTCAAGTGCGTTGCGTCGTCCACTCTGCGCCCGAGGCCCTCCGGTGGTTCGTGAGAGGCGCCAACTTTTGCAGGATGAAGGATTCCACCAGCTCCTCACGCGGACGGAAGGCGGACACGCTGGCCCGTTGCAAGGTGGACACTCTTAGAAAGCATTGAGAACCCCCTAACAGTAACCTGTTTGGGGAAAAACATCTTTTCGCCCCTCCATCTGTATGTGGGGACTTGCAGCCCAGCACCGGGTCAGGGAGTTGTTTTGGAAGGAGACCACAACAAGGAAGTGGCGGCCAACGCCACTCCTGTGCTACCCATGCCTACAACACGGAACACAATGCTATTTACGCCAGTCCCTTCAACTGTTGGGATAATGACATCAAACTCTGCTGTGCAGAATTTAGGGAGGCCCCTCCTCATTTCAACACCTGCTTGGTTCAATCTTCCAGCCCTCCAGGAAGAACCACAGGGGGTATGAACATAGAAAGACCTCCCAGGCAATGGCTCCCTGGAAGAAGGGAAATAACACCCGTCTATCCAGCGGCGAGCAAGGGGGGTATCTCAATCTCAATTATATAGAATACACAGCCACATGCGCTAGCGAGCTTCTGAGCTTCTAAACCTATGGGCACAAAAGTGGAACTCCATATGTAGGTATCGCTTTTGGGGGGTCCTATATGATATCGCTTTATTGGTGTTTGGATGATTGACTCCAAGGAAATAGTTTCTCTCACATAAAGATTTGTGCACAGACCCTTTAGAATGTTGCTCGCATGGACCTTAACATGAATCAGATCAGCAACCCCAGGGCGGGGGCGGGGCTCTTCCCAGGGCTTTCTAGCTTGGTCCCCCAATGTCCCGGTATTTGAATCAGCCACTGGGTTAAACAAACGCAGGGGAGCCACACATGTCTGCAGAATCAATATAAAGTGGCCAAAACGACACCAACATTTCAACATCTTAAGGAAATGACATGAAATCATGGAAATGACATGGGAGACTTGAGACTTGCTGAGTAAATCCCAAAAGTAAAAGAGTTAAATGAAACATTGTCAATCTAAGACTTGAGTCATCTGGCATCTGGGTCATCAATTGCACCTTTTTGAGGATGTCTATAGTTTGCGGGGCACCTAGAATCCTGAAACACACAAGCACATACCTCATTAGCGCTTCCAATGGGTGTCCTGGGATGGAGACCTATTATGGCCGCAGGCTTGTCCTGCCAGGTGACCCAAACCGCTTTCGGACCGTTCCCTCCGGCGGCTCCGCCACGCGAGCCGGCTGCGGCAGCGTCGACGCATCGTGCTGCGTCGTCGACGTCGCGCTGCCAGAGCGGAGAAGGGTCACCATGCCGACCTCGGGGGGTGCACGGGCCATAGGGATTGGTAGTCGAAAAAGAGACGCGCCAAAACCAAAACCTATCAAAATACACGCGTGGCAGCGGTGGCAGCATCGACGTTGTCTTGTGTCGGCTGCTTTCATCTGCCTATTTTTAGGGTACATCGTCTTCCAATGTATACAAACAATACTGGAGTATCGTTTTGAGGTGCCATTTTTAGGCTTCCTCTGGTTCGTCGAGGAAATCCATGGAAATCCTACAATTCAAAGAAGACCATGCCAATGAAAAACGCGTGGTACAAACATGTAGTGTCCAAATTTTAAAACTAATCTGACTGGTGCTTAGTAGGGAATAATGGGAATGACCCCTCACGGTATAGATACCTTAGGGTCCACCCACCCTCATTCCTATTCCCCTACTAAGCACCAGGTTAGAGCAGGATCTTCTAATTTTGGCCTTACTAATTGTGCTCTCAATTGGATAGACCGGCCCCAAAGGGCGATGACAAGTTAGGGCGTCTGGTCAAAGGGCGATGACCTCTCCAAATCCTCTCCAAATCGAATTCACCATCCTTCAACAACTTGAGCCGCTAAGCACATCTTCTGTGTTGGCGATCAAACAAGCAGAAATCAATTTTGGAGGGATTGTCTTGCGAGCAAGGTGAAACTACAACGGCCATCTTGATAGAATCATGGGTCGTACCCTGCACCCAGTTGCATGATAAGCACGAGAATACCAATTATCATTGGTATGCAATAATAGTCATGCTGACATTTGATTACATTTGGTCGCGCTTCGAAGAACAGCGTGTGGGTGTTCGGGTTAAATGTTAACCTGCAGGGAAGTATCCATCGAGTCTTTGTTGGAGAATGTTGGAGACATGTGTTTGTTTGTTGCGTATGCTGAGTTTTCCAAGGCTTGGAACGATCTAAGGCACATATCTGCACCTGTAAGATAACGTCTTGGACATAGGCTTCAGCAAGAGAACGGTGCAGACCCTCTGGGTAGATTTTGGCTATACTGACCGCTGAAAGCCAAAGGAGTAGAAAGCCCCACTAGCTGTCTTGACCAAATCCTGAACTTCCACCATCTGACTCTGCTCGATGGTACCTCCGTTTTCGGTTCGGTGGGCCAGGGCGGAGTCGAACCGCCGACCCGGAGATGGGCCAATTCTAGGGGATAGTCTGCAACTCTGGAAACCTACAGCCCTCCTACAGCCTGAGAACAAACGGAAAATCCACCGTACATGCATCCTTGCGTCAGCACTTCTGGGCCTTGTCCATACTCCATTGAGTCCGGCGGGATGTACCATGAGCTGAATCAAAACGCCTCTACAAAAGGGTATGGACCATCTGTGGGTTGATGCGATTGCACGTGCTGCTTTGTATGGCTTGTCGCCGGGGCAAGAATGCTCACTTCTTGTGGGCCAGAGCAGTGTGCAGCCTTATCCTCCCTTCAGTCTCGGCCTGGGAGGTAGTCGCCAAAGAGAAGCGAGCCACGGAGGGCTGCTACATGTGCAGGTACTGCCAGGTGTTCTGGAAGGCGGGCCGTCGTGGCTCCGGCTTAGTCACCCGGGCAGAGAAGCTCTACAACAACTGTATCGAGTTTAAAAAAAGGTGTGCAAGCCAGCTGCGCCCCACGCTTGCTCACTTGCAGCTGTGGTCCCTCATGTCTGTGGGCAACTTACCATCTGCCTCATCAAGAGCCTCTACCTCCCTGGCTGGAGAGAGGCGGGAAAGAGATCAATAAGCTTTTGTAGGCATGGAGCAGAATATGGCAAATGGCCTAAGTCCTAGGAGGACCTACGATGATCGACGATGGGACAGCAAGCATGATGCTGCACGATGGCACGCCTGGGGCTACGCCGCCCGCGACAGCTTCGCCACTGTGTTCCTGCTTTGGAGGCCTATAGGAAGATGCCGTACATCAATCTCTTTGCCCAACTTGACCCCCACGCAACAATCGTAGTGACTGTGCAAGGTGAAGCTGAGACAGGTAAGCCAAACAGACCTGCCATCTTCCGTTGCCGCCTTTTCTCGCGCGTCGTGTGCGGTCTTGAACTGGCCGCAAGAGCGGCGTCCACTCGTGGGAAAAAAAAAAAAAACAACCCCGTCATCATCGTCATCATCATCATCGCTCACCCACCTCGCAGAATGTGTGATGAACTGAGAAAGCTCGGCATGAACTTCTGTTCCTCGAGTCTGCGCGCAAAAAAGTATTCACTGACTCGAAGGCAGATCTGGGTAGCCTCTCATCTGGCTCCCTCAGTTTACCCCTGGAAAAAAGAAACAGCAAGAAAAAGCTATATGCAGCTATATATATGTGAACCTGTTTTCCACCTGTTCACTGTTCATGTTGTTTAGTGGGGAAACCCAATGGAATTGCAGTGGACCACTAACAAAAAACTGTCCCACTTGGAGCCATCGACTCCCTCAACGCGACGCTCAGCCGTGTCCTCCTTCAACGCCGTCCTTCCCACCAAGATGCCGCGTGCTGAAACTCTAGAAAATTCATCTCCTCGACCGTGGTCGGCGAGGGAAGTCCCTTTCCCTTTGGTGGGGCTTTGGCCATCGAACCAAACCAATTGGGCCTTTGGGATCGATCCTTGGAAGTCGATTTGGTAACAAAAAACCAATGATTTTCTGACATCCTCAAGACTCGAAACGACCAACACCAATTCCGAATGGTGATTCCTATTAAGACTTTAAAACAAACATGCTCTTTTAAAACAAACACGCTCCGTTCGTAGATCTTAGTAGTAAGGCCAGGAGCCCCTAGTTTTTAGTGTTTAGAAACGTTCATGACTGAACAACTGGGGAAGTCATGGTGAAGTCTACAGGCTTGGTGAGGTGCCTTCATGGCTCGAAGCCCGGCATCTCGCTTCGGAATGGCCAGTGTAGAACAGCTTGGGATCCCACAAATCTCATTAGTTTGGTTCAGCAAGTCTCGAGTTTTTGTCTGGGGGGGGTGATCCCAGTAGTGGCTTAAGTGTCTACAAATTTTGTCACAAAACAATCATCAAACACCCAAAAACTATCAGCTTTGGCATGTTTTCTTGACGTTGGATCTCAAGCAAGTTTCAAGAGAACCTTCTGGGGGGGGAACTTGAAAAAGAGCAAGAGGGCGATCCTAAAGTTCTCAGAAGTGGATCCTAAAGTTCGGAGCTCCATATAGAACTTGAAACTGTGGATCCTAAAGTTCTCAGAAGTGGAGATCCTGGGGAGCTCCATATCAAAGTTTGGATTCAATGTTCGGAGCTCGAGCGCACCAAACCTCCACATTCAGCTCTGAAGCGAACCGAGCCCGGCCCACATGTTCATTCATGTGAAGTACACCAAACAAAGGTGGAAGTCTATACCAAAAACAGTTGTCATCTCAAAGTTAAAGTCTGGAAGCCCCTCCAGATTGCATTCGCCCCCACCTTGGACTTTCTGAAGGCCACCCATTGGCTCTCCTGAAAGCGGCTGCGAAAGACCTCCTCCGGCTGTGTCATCATCCCCAAGCGAAAGGCCACGCCACACCTCCTGAGGCCAATTGTCCCATCATCACTACCCAAACACTCCATGTTATGTATAGCATGCCTGCAACGACCCGCATGTCAGCATTTAATAGCATGCCTAACCTATCGCCACGGATCGGACAACATATGCTGCAGGTACATACCAAACACATGGTGGAATATAGGTGCATAACACTTGTAGAATATATATATATATACACATATGACACCCCATGCACATCAAATGTTCACTTGGAGCATCCCAAGCAGATCTGATGGCGTGTGACATGTACCCGCAGAAACATTGGTGGGACGGGTCAAACCAAGAACATTGCGTATGGCGTATGATTTTTTCTTTGGGGAATCACTACAAGAAATATGATAAATGGAGGGGTGTTTTTTTTCGGGATTGTTTTTTAAAATATATTTTTCGGATTCTGTTTTTGCAGCGTTTCTGCTTCTGCAGCTTTTTTGCTTTTGTTGCTTTTGCTGCTTCTGCTGCTTTTTTGCTTTTGTTGCTTTTCTGCTTTTGCTTTTCTGCTTCTGATGCTTTTGTTGCTTTTCTGCCTTTGCTGCTTTTCTGCTTCTGCTGCTTTTCTGCTTTTTGTGTTTTTGTCTTTCTGCTCTTTGCTTTTGTTGCTTTTCTGCTTTGGCAGCTGTTCTCCTTTCTCTTTTTGTTTTTGCTTTTCCATCTGTTTGCTTTCTAACCTTTGAATCTGGTGTGCTGCTGGGGGGCGCTGCGCCCCCCCCCCCCCCCCCCCCCCCCCCCCC